ATATTAGCAATTTTTGAGCTATTAAAATTACTGAATTATCAGATCTACTATTAGATATGATCTGATTTAATATTTCTAAAAAAGCAGCAGAATGCGGCTCTGCCTTGCTTGTATATTTTGTAATATATTGTAAGGCTGCATGAATACTCAAAATTGGTTTAATATCTATATTTGCTTACCAATCTTGTAGCTGAAGTCGATTATGTGGATTAATATATGGATTGTTTCTTGCTATTATAAGTTCTGGTTCTTCACAACTATCTTCACGCAAAAAAGTATACTCACTATTATCCTTAGGAAAACCAAATCTGCAGAATTGTTGCCCAGTTCGATCAACATGAAGACAATATATAGCACTACATTGTATATACTGTTGTAATTTATTAATTAAATTAATATAATCTTATAAATCATCATATATCTCATTTTGACGTTTCTGACATGGATGACGATCAGATATAGGTGCATCAAGTCCTGGATTCATCATGGTAACTTGTGAATTAAGATACTGTATGATCATATTTATGATTTGATCATCATTTTTTATTTGTTCCCATTCAATTACAGAAGCATTCTGTTTCTTTTCTATACTATATATATATACGCTACCATGATGTTGTCACTCAAATCTATACCACCAGTCTTCTAAATCCCATTGCTGTTTTAGTATATCATTAAAAAAAACCTCAAACCACTTATTAAAAAACTAAACAGCAATATGAGAATTGTTAATAATATTTTGATGTCAGCAATTTGCAGAATCAATTTCTTTCTCTACAAGATTTTTTTGTGATTGTATAAGATCATGAAGTTCAGGCCAGTGCAGATCTGCAGCACTAAAAGTAAAGAATACTAATCTTTGTGAGTCTAATTGTTTTAGCATATCTGATAACTCGCAACAACGTGCAAACCAAAATTGCCAAGTTCTATACAAACTAATATCAAATCTTATAATTTTGTTAGCTATATGTATATCACCTTTAGCAATCATATTTTGAATATTAGTAACAGTAAGCTGATCATCATTCAAACTTTGCTTAACAAAAACTTTTCCTTCTTGTAGTGCTCTCCATCACATTAGAGAATTTAATACAAAATAATGCCAATGAGAGTGACGTGCAAATCTTCCATCTTTAAATTGAAGAAAATGTTTAAAGTATTCAGCTAGTTTGACATCTTTAGCACATTCTGTATAAAAGTTAGCACAACCAGTCAAATATAAAGTTGGAAATGCATATACAATATATTCTGGAGTTTGAAATTCATTAATTAGCATATTGTCAATATGTGGCCATATTATTGATGGATCTTTAGACTCCAGACAGTCAAGAGCATTATTAATAGCAACATTCTCACGATCAGTTGATGAAAAAAAAGGTACAAAAGAACGTGTAATTTCATATTCATTTTTAATATTTGAATCATTATCTGTTTCATTAGTTTGAAGTTGTAGAAGCTGATCATCTATATAACCATCTTCAGACAAAGATTTAAGTACTTTATTATTAATAGTAATATCAGTATAATAACGATTATTTGCCTTTAACCAATATAGTGCATTTGCAACAATATTACAATGAACTATAAAGTCTCTGAATGCAGTAGGATCATTTGCTGATTGACAATGCATAATTAGTATATTTAATGTTGATGGATGTTAAGGAAGCTGTATAGTAAATTCTTGTATGTCTTGAGGAAAATTTATAATATTTCCTCTATAACCGAGTTGTCCACCATGAAGTTTATATACTGACATTACAGTAAAAACTTATGCTATTAACATTTCTTCTACTTCTGTTAAACCCTGAAGCTCCTCAGGTATTTCACCTGGATCCATATTATTTGTAGCAGAAAACTTTTATGATAAAACCTTTTCACCATTGCAATGAAGGCACATTCTATTGACAAGCACTATGGATGGAAAATATTCATTGCACATAGTGCAGAGAACATATTGAAAGTTACTCATTTTAGTACGAAATTTTCTTAAAAGTTCTTGTTCGACTTCATTTAATTCTGTGGCTGATTGTAATTCGACACTTATTTCTGCGATATTATCATTTTGAGATGTAGCTATAATAATCTCTTTATTTTTAGATGTATTATCAATATTTTCAATTTAAGATGAAGTAGAAATATTTTCACTAATTGGATGTATACTTTCTATATTTACTGATATTATGAGTCATTCTAATTCTTGCTGTAAATTAGCATTTGTTCTTGCTTTATGACATTTTCTTTCTCTATCTCGAGCAAGACGTGATTCATGTTCTTGGGTAGTTTCTGTTACTCTTTTTTGAAGCCTTCTATTCTGATCACTTGAAAGATGTTCTTGACGCTTTTTAAGTGACTCTTTTTCTCTATATTTACATTGTTAGTGTGTACTACTATAAATTAATTTTATTTATAATTTTTTTAATCTTTAAAATAATAAAAATTAATTGTACTAATGAATTTTAAAATTTTAAAACTATAATATATACTGTATTATTCATTATTAAAAAAGCAAATTGGTAAATATTTAATTATATAAATAGATAAAGTTTATATACAAAATTAATTTTTAACTATATATATTTATTATTTAGAAATCTCTTTAAACATATAAAAGTTTATCCTTTTTAAAAATTTAACCTACTGTTTAAATACTTTATTGCGGCCTATACCTTTTTCACTTAGCAATATCTCGTGCCAATTTTTTTTAACTTTTTTCAATAATTTTATATAATTTATAATTTTAGTCACATCTACAGTAATATGTAATTATGCTATTGTAATAAATAATCTTACTCTTTTTGGCGTAATTGATTATCTAACTAAATTAGTATTGTAATTGTTAAAGCCCTCGAGAGAGGTAGTGTGCATATTGATAATATTGATATAAGGCTAACATAATAGTGTGGTGCCTCTGATATTATAAAGTAGGCTACAAAATGTTCTTTTTCATATGTATAAAAGTGAAGCATTAATTATAATAAACGGAAGAACCTTGTACTCATAATAAAGTAACCTAAATATAATAATATTCACTCTTTAATTACACACTATCATTAAGTCGCTCTAATAGAATTACTATACCTTATGGAAGCCTTTTATTATTCAATTCATATAACTTCTAGTAGCAGTTGGGTGTTGCTCTCCCAACCACTATACACATTGGCACTGTTGGATCTGTGTATACGATTACTTTTTTAGATATGGCTTAAGTTTTGAAGAACCGCTAATATATTTTCTATTTTTGGATTATTTAATTGTTGCACCATTTGTTTCCAACAAGTTTTGCACCTGTCCATGCGCTGGGAATTTTCAGCAACTCTAGTGTTGCTACTCTAAAACATTTTAGCAGCCAACCAAATTTTTAGATTAGATGTATTAAAACTTCAATGTGCTAAAAAAGATTGCTCTGCATTAATGAGATTCTTTCTAACTTAATTTAATAGCAAAATTTTTTAGTGAAATCTTTGGGTTGATAACGCTAATTGGCTGATTTGAATTAATAAATAAGTGGCGCATTTCAAGAATAAGTACGTACATAAATATGTAGGATTTTTTTAATAGTATTTAATAAAGTAACCTGAATATGATATTTATTCACTTCTTAATTACACACATTATTAAGTCGCTCTAATAGAATTATCATGCCTTATAGAAGCCTTTTATTTTTCAATCTACATAACTTCTAGTAGCAGTTGAAGCTACACTGTGCATTCATTGTGCGTTGCTCTCTTAACCAACAATTATACTTCTTTAGATATGGCTTAAGTTTTGAAGAACCACTAAGTAATATATTTTCTAGATTATTATTTAACTATTACACCATTCGACCTTTTTTAGCTTCTTTGAGTGTTTCCAACAAATTTTGCGTCTGCCTATGCACTGGGAATTTTCAGCAGTTCTAGTGTTGCTACTCTAAAACATTTTAGCAGCCAACTAAATTTTTAGATCAGGTATATTAAAACTTCAATGTGCTAAAAAGATTGCTCCACAATTTTTTTGCATTAATGAGATTCTTTCTAATTTAATTTAATAGCAAAATTTTTTAGTAAAATCTTTGGGTTGGTGACATTAGAGTTCTAGTAAAGTTTAAATTGGCTGACTTGAATTAATAAATAAGTGGAGCATTTCGAGAATAAGTACGTAGGATTTTTTTAATAGTATTTAATAAAGTAACCTAAATATGATATTTATTCTTTCCTTAATTATATACATCATTAAGTCGTTCTAATAGAATTACTATGCCTTATAGAAGCCTTTTATTTTTCAATCCACATAACTTCTAGTAGTGGTTAGAGCTACACTGCATATTCATTGTGTGTTGCTCTCTCAACCAACTATTACACTTCTTTAAATATGGCTTAAGTTTTGAAGAACCACTAAGTAATATATTTTCTAGATTATTATTTAACTGTTGTACAATTCAACCTTTTTTAGCTTCTTTGAGTGTTTTCAACAAGTTTTATGCCTGCTCATATGCTGAGAATTTTTAGCAGCTCTAGTGTCGCTACCCTAAAACATTTTAGCAACTAACCAAATTTTTAGATCAGGTATATTAAAACTTCAATATGCTAAAAATGGTCTAAATCTGATAGTTTATATGTCCAAATAACAACACTGAAAGCTATAGATGAAGATTTCATATAATGTTATATTTAGGGACAAGGAAATACTACGGTGGTTTTAGATAAGTATATTTCAAGAATGGATAAAGTCGTAGATATTCGTTTATTTGCTTTAATAATCTAAAATCTATACTTCGGCTTTCTTTGATGAATTAAGATATTTTACAGA